GTGTGAGAGAGAGAGAGAGAGACAGAGAGAGAGAGATTCACAGATAAATCTGATTTTCATTCTATCTTTCACTTCATGTAGAATAGAAAATTTTAGAAAAGGTAATTTGGAATCTGAGCTGATAATGAGACATATTGTGACAAGCTGGCAGCGGTAAGAAAATAAATTGCCAGAAATATCTAAGCACAAGTCCTATAAACATGGGGGGGAAAGACAAGCAAAACCGAAAGCAAAGCCAAATTATACTTAGGGAATAAAATTTATAGAGTTATTGATAGTAGGTAAAATCTAGTTAAATACATCATTTTATACATAGGGATTTCTGTAATTTGTAGAATTACGTCATGCCATATATTTTCTCAAAGAATATATTTCAACAGAGTACCAAAAAACAATTAGTGCTTATACTTCTAAATAGTACTTATATTTCTTAAATTTATTTGTTCAATAATGCTTACAGAGAAATAATAATTGATGTGAACGGTGCTGAGATATGCCTAAGCAAGTAAAACCATACATAATATCATTACTAGCCAGAATTGTAGGCACAGGCCTGAAAGCAATTCCATAGATATGTCGGTGATGCTGGTTTTACAAAAATAGTCAAATTAAATGAAAGCACATGCACTTGGTTCATGCTCCATAAAGGTGTGGTGGGGTCAAAACCAATATTCATAATTTATTATTTGAAAGCAAGGAAACAATATTTAGGAGGAAATTGAATTAAAGGAGCCTTTTATACCTTTATGCACAATGATGCCTGCACAGAAACAGCATAGACAGACACATGCTCCCTTGGCTCTCTGTTTTAAACTTCCTTCCTTCACATGAGGGCTGACAACCAGGCCCCATAATGAAAAGATCCGATCACCCCTTAAGTGTCTCCCATGACATCATTTGAGAAGAGACCAGTCTGGTAATGTTACTGATACAGAGTTGAGTCACCCACCTTTGGTTTTTCTCAACTCCTCAATCAGGCTGCGTGCTTCCTCTTGAACACGGTCTTCAATGCTCCTCTTTCCCATCCCAAAGTTCCGCAGGGTCATGAGAGAGAAATGCCGGATCTCCTTCCATCTCTTTCCGTTGCTGAAAATAACTCCTAACAGATCAAGTAAACAGAAATTAGGAAGAACCCCATAAAGGAAGAAGAAGCAGACATGGAGAAACTCCTCATGGAGCCAAGATCTAGCCTAGAAGAATTTTATCCTTCTCACCCCCGTTACCAATGGTGTCACAGGCACCTGCACACCTATCATATCCCTTATTAGCTTTTTCAGCTACTGGGAAACTGCCTCTTCCAGAAAACTCTTCTCCATGATCAATCAGGGCTTCCTTCACTGCTTCATACCCATGTAACACCACAGTTGGCTCCAGACCAAGATACAGAGTGAACACAGGGCCATATACTTTTGATAATTAGAAAAGGAGATACAGACCACATAAAGCAAATCATCGCTATTGGGACCATATACTGTGCCCAATTTAGACTAATATGGTCCTCGTATTTTATGCTTTTATTCTACCATGCACAGCTTTAAATATTTCTGAATTCTATATATAAGTACATCGGTGGCTGTTAGGACTGCCACTGATGGATGGCCTTTGAGTTACCACAAATGTCCCAGGCAGTCAGTACCCAGATCACACTTAACCAACACATTCTGCAGGTTTTGGGGCTGTTTTAGATAGAGAAACTGAGCTCAGATAAGTTCACATGTATTTCCACTGTCCAAAAACTAATATACAGGAGACTCAAACTTGAACCTCTGCTGATTCAAATTCTGATGCCTTAGCAACTCATCAGTCCCCCATCCACCTTAAGACCAATACCCAGCTGTCTGCTTTAAGATCACCTGGGAAACACTTGCCATGACAATCTTGTGATTAACAAGCAAAATTTACAATTTAAAAGTCACACCACGTGATTCAAACAACCAGCACAGTTTATCACTGCTGGTATTACTTAGAAAAACTGAGCACCATGAAGACAGAACAAGGACATGCAGCACTGCCAGGAAAAAAAATTGGTTCCTTCCATCCTTCCGCATTTCTGGTCACAGATAGAAGCTTTGTGCAGAATGTGAAATAATGATGTTACCACCTATTGATAGTAATACTTGCACTGACCAGGCATAATTTTTTTCAATTTTCATGACTATTCTGAATAAAACTTATGGCTAATATAGTAGATGACTTATTTAACAAAATCTGTGTTTACAAACACACCCAAAACCATTTACCATTAGCCCCAAACCATAGCAAATGGCTAGACACCAAAGAAGGTTTCTCAACTTCTACCATTTAAAAAAAAATTTGAATCTACTATACAAGGACCTAAATGTTTCTCTACTCACAAAATACATTATTTCATTCCACTATTTCTGACACTGACAGACTGAAAAAGGCAGCAAAGGGGTCAAATTATGTTGCTTTTCAATGACCTATTCTAGCAGAGTGTCTGCAGGGTTATATTTTATTTAAAAATAGGAGTGAATTACTTACCTTTTGCAGGCTACTGCAGGAGCATAAGGCATACTTACATTGGTTAAGGTTTTGCTGATGTCTTTAACATCTATCTGTAGGATATTTCCAATAATGGGGAGCGGAGTGGGTCCAGGAGGGAGCGTCTGTCTCCCAGTGCTCTGTCTCCAGAGAGAAAGGAGAAGCAAACAGGAAAGACAGAGCACTAGAATCAAAAACAGATCCATTGATGTCTTCTCTTCTTTCTAAGACAACAGTGAAATTGCACCCCAAAGTATTTATAACAATCCCTGCCAATACAGCATGTATCTCTTTGACGTATAAAGTGACCAGTCACCTAGGTCTACTTTATCAGGACTTTGAACCACTGATAGGGATAAAAATAAAATGTCTTTTAGTCTTGTTCTTCTTTGTTCCGAGTCCCATCTTGTAGATTCCAATTTAATTGTACTTGACTGGAACCAAGTTACCAGTAATACACTTTTTTAAACCAAATTTGGGTTAAACTCACATATTTTTTTAACTCAAATTTGAACCTCTGCTGATTCAAATTCTGCTGTCTTAGCAATTAATCAGTCCCCCTGTCCACCTTAAGATCAATACCTAGTTGTCTGCTTCAAGATCACCTGTGAAACGCTTGCCATGACAATCCTGTGATTAGCAGGAGCGATGTACATTTTGAACCCCAGGTGGTTCAAATGATCAGCACGGTTTATCACTGCTGGTATTACTAAGAAAAACTGAGCACCACGGAGACACCACTGAGACATGCAGCATTGCCAGGAATATGCAGCCATAACTGAGAAGCACTGAAGTAAACCATTTGATGAAAAAATGTACTCAAAACTCTGAATTCTCAGATTAATTAATAGTTTGGAATTTTTTGCGTTGAAGAATATCAGTGCATTGCATGCCCCCCTTACTAAAAAAAAAAAACGTATGTCATTATGCTCTATCAAATGATAGGTGACTTTTCCTTAGTAATGAAATCCTTTCAAATATTTAATATAGTCTACTAACTATAGCTGCCTAAACATAAAACAGCTAACATAACTGATGCAACTTGAATGAACAAATAAATATCAAGTAATATAACTAAGCAAATGTATACAATGTTTGACATTAAACCCCCTTAAAAAAAACACTTGAAGGTAGGGATAGTCATGCTTTATATTTCAAATAAGGAAATGGAGACTGGAAGATTAAAACACCTGTCAATGTTACAAGTCTCATAACTGCAGAACTGGGGTTTGAACTGAGATCTTCTGATACCCAGTGTTATGTATTATCACTTACACCAAGGCTGCCTCAGGAACAATTTAGTAAAACAAAACAAATCCAAAAGTGTGATTCCTCTGAGTGTACACTACATTGATTCTGTTCATAAAGCAACAGGCTTCATATTAAGTAGAAGCTCTTTATTTGACTCTGAGAATAACATGACCAGAGGTGTTCAGGAGAAGAAATTTAAAATAGACATCTCCCCTGTCCATCACTGCAGAGATGCAGTTTGCTCGGTGTAAATGAAGAAAAAGACAATCTTAGAAAATTTCGTGCAAAAGGCTTGAGAAACTATGACTTTTCCACCTTGCAGTCACTTCTAGTAATGGCTGCTTCCGTTGTCTTTGGTCTGTCATTGTCAGAACTAATAGGATGCAATCATGAACTGCAACAAAGGGAAATTATAGACAAAACAACAACAATTGTGAATGCACTAGAGGACGGGAGATATACAGGTTGTTGGACTGTTTCCCAGCACAGAACCACCATAATGTACAGACCTGGACCAAAAAGATGATATGTTTCTACATGAGGACCTAAGTACAGTCAAGTTGATGTATGTTATCAAATCACTAATGACAATGTGCTAAGGCATGTACTGTAAAGATATCATAAGTTATCATATCTGTACTGTATCATATCATATACTGTAAAAGATATCATATTTTATCTAAATTGACTAATGCAGTTATTTTCTGCTCTTTCAATAAGAAAAAAATAAATTATAATTTTGCAGTGTTTGAAGGGTCATTTTAACAGTGATTCTGACAATTTTCAGAGAATTTTCATACCTCCTATCTCTTTGGAATCTCTCAATTACTTTTGCTTTAGGTAAAATTGACCCATTTAGGGATGAGAAAAACTAGGCTTTGAAGATTCAGCACGATGGCCAAACAAATGGTGTCTGCCAGGGGTAGAGATGAGACTGAAATCCCTATCTTCTGCATTTTGCAGGCTTCACTTCAAACAAGACATTCAGTTCAACAGAGTTCACCAACATTTATTGATTGTGTACTATGATCCAGTGTTTTGTGATTCAGCCTAATCAATGATTTTCAAAGTAAACATTAATTTAGTTAATAATTACAGCACGAGTTGACTAAAGTAGGGGTCAGAAGAGCTTGGTATTATACACATTAGAACTTGAGTGAATTCATGTCCTGGTGAACAATTTACCCATGACAAAAAAGAAGCAGTAATTTGCTGTCTGACTCACATGAGTCTAAACTCTAAAACAATCACACAGGCTTATTTTGAATAACATAAGCTCAGTTGCTCACTATAGAGCAATAATTTTATTCCTTGAGAGACAGGAGTCCCTGCTTTGTTCCTCTTCCTTTCTGCTGAGCTAAGGCTCCTGCCTAGATCTTTATTTTTATAGAATGAGATACTCATGGATAATTTAAGGATAGAAGGGGTCTCTGAGATCAACTAGTCTTAATTTTGCTTGTTTTTTGTTTAGAAATAAGCAATTGATGACCCAGTAAGCTAGTGCCAGTAAAATACTTTGTATTCGAATCCAGTTTTCCAATTCCCAGTCTAATAACATCTCACATTTCATCCCATGGAACTTTTATTTCAATTCAATAAACAGGAGGATATCAGCAATGAGTCCTTGATAGTTATGGACCAAAGCATCCCTTAGCTTGGCTAGAGTGGTGGGTTAAAGCAAGGCTTTCTAAATTTTTGTTTTAAGGCAGTTTTGGGTTCTCATCAACACTAAGTAGAAAGTACACAGTTGCCACATACCCTTTCCCCTCTCTCACACACAGCCTCTCCCACAATCAGCAATTCTCACCAGAGTAGTTCATTGGTTGCAACTGATGAACCAATATTGACACATCATTATGAGCCAAAGTTCATAGCTCATGTAGGGTTCATTCTTTGTGTTGCTCATTCAATGAGTTTTGAATACTTTATAATGATATGTAGCCATCATTGTAGTATTGTACAGAATAGTTCCCCTGTCCCAAAAATCCTCTTTATTCTGCATATTCACCTCTCTCTTCCTCTCAAGCCTTGGCAATAAATGATATTTTTAGTACCTCCACAGTTTTGTCTTTTACGGAATGTCAGACAGTTGGAATCACGCAGTATGTAGCTTTTTAAGACGGGTTTCTCCATGTCTACACACAAAGTTTCTATGTGTCTTTTCATAGCTTGCTAGTCCATTTCTTTTTAACACTAAATAATATTCTGTAACATGGATATACAACAGTGTGTTTATTCATTCATCTGTTAAAGAACATCTTGGTGGCTTCTAAATTTGGCAATGATAATTAAAGCTACCATAAGCAACCATGTTCAGATTTTTGTGTGGGCATAAGTTTTTAATTCATCTGGGCAAAAACAATTTGTATTATGTGGTAAGCTTCTTTTCGTCTTGTAAAAAACTGCTAGTCTTTGAAATTGTCAGTATCGTTTTGCATTCCCTCCTGCAATGACTAATATTTCTTGTGATTTCACATCCTTACCAACACTTTGTCTTATATGTGTGTTGGATTTTAGTCATTTAGTATGTGGTGGTAACGCATGGGGTTTTAGTTTGCAAATCCCTGGTGATGTATGATGTTGAACATTTTCATACATTTATATGCCATCTGTATGTTTTCTTGGATTAGAAGTTGGTTCAGATCTTTTGCCCATTATTGTACTCATTTTTCTATTTACATTGCACCTCCCCATAAGAGTTTTTACAGTGCATACCGATCACCTTGCATCTACTGAATAAGCCAGGTTGCAAGACCTAAAATGTTGCCCAACTGTCTGTACAGAAAGGCCATGGCTCATGGATATAAACCAACCATGTAACTCCGAAATCTGCCCATGGACTGCTCTGTTTTGTTCCCATCTAAAGCCAGAGAGTATCCACGGTTGTCCAGCTACGGCTGTACATACTCAGATGGCTTGACCCAGAGTGCCAAGCATTTTCAGGAATGGGGACCACGCCTTTGTATATTGTTGGAGGCATCTCCTGTGGAAACCCTGCAATAAGGACAACACTGGTCTCAGTGTACTGATCCCAGGACAGCATGCAGAATTTCTCCCAAAAGACTCCC